ATGGTGATTCGAAATAAATGTCACGATCCAAATCCGAGCCGCGACTGGCACCCACACTTACCCTCCTATGTGAGCGAACCAACCAAATCTAAACCTTAACATTTCAATGTAATATCATAATGCGGAAGACTTAAACTCATTAAATAAAGGTCAATTCATTAACTTCTAAAATTCAACATCTATTATTCCCCAAAATCTGGAAGTCATCACCACAAGAACATCTATGATCAAATTACTAAACTAAGAGTATTCTAATAAGCTAAAAATACATAAAAGTTAGTCCATGCCGGAACTTCAAGGCATCAAGACATGAGGAAGAAGATCCAGTCCAAGCTAGAAACGTTAACTCACCCTGATATCCGGAGTAATGAAGACTGGCTAGAGTTACGGTTGAATCGAAGACGACGGCACATTTGCTGCACTCCACAAATAACAAGAAGAAAAACATAAAAGTAGGGGTCAGTACAAAACACGGGTACTGAGTAGATATCATCGGCCAACTCAAAATAGAAAACAATATATACCAAGTAATATCATAAAATCAACTATGATACTCAACATGTAGCAACAACAAGCACTATATCATTTACAATTACCGTCAAGTTCACACATGAGGACTCAAGCCTCAATACCATACTCATTTGGGAATCATGTTCATTAGATTGAGTATATTAACATCTTTCAAGATTCATTATCTTTATTTCTCTTGTGTCAGTACGTGACACTCCGCTCCCTCATATTCATTAATCCTCTTGTGTCGGTACGTGACACTCCGATCCTCTAAATCTACGTGTCGGTTCGTGACACCCGATCCCCTAAATCTACGTGTCGGTTCGTGACACCCGATCCCCTAAATCTACATGTCGGTTCGTGACACCCGATCCCCTAAATCTACGTGTCGGTTCGTGAAACCCGATCCCCTAAATCTACGTGTCGGTTCGTGACACCCGATCCCCTAATCTCATTCTATCAAGTCATCAAGCCTTCTCTTATACCAAGGCATCATCAATCTCATTACTTTAGTTCATCAAGCTTCTCCCTTACCAAGGCATCATCATTAACAAGAGATTAGGTTTTTTATCAAGATTTGGGATTCAATAGCTTCATCATGCTTAATATAATCTCAATTATATAATCACGTTCATGCAAGCATACAATTAAGCACATAGCAGGTTTTACAATACTATCAATACATATCATTCGCTATTAAGAGTTTACTACGAATAGCATGAAAACCATAACCTACCTCCACCGAAGATTCGTGATCAAGCAAGCAAATTTTCTAACCGTCCTGCAGGTCCGTCACAGAGTTCAGAGAGTCGATTTCAACACCCAAATTTCAGAATTTCTAAGTGTTTTGGGACGAGACACCCTCGACGGTCCGTCGTGCCCATGACGTTCCGTCGTGGGTTCCGTCGTCTCAGCCTGTTTTTCCAGAAATAAAATCTGCTGTTCAAAACGACTAAACAGGTCGTTACAATAAATTATGATAAGACAAGCAAATAACAGAAACACATTTTTAGATGATTTTTATAAGAGATAATCAAAATAGACCATAATTTTTTTTTTAAAAAAAATTGAACAATATACTATGTACTATATTTATTTGTAAGCAAAATATTTGTACATAAACTTGATAACAATTACGATGTTAATAAGTACCAAAACATTAATTTCAGTGGATTTATGCTTAAAATTAAGAAAAAAACTTACACATTTATAACACTATGCATCATTTGTTGACTCTCTCAAAAAAAAATTATAATTAAAAAAATGATCAAATAATTATTATTAGACCATATAAGAAGTCTAATATTTATATAGCTACTCTCTAACTCACCATTAATTGGTAATATTTCTGAGCTCTGACGTATACAAAAGGATTTATTATTTTTTTTATATATATTTTTTGCTATTTCGAATTAATATTTGTATTGTAATCTGCATTGTTAATTCAATTGTGTGTCACATAAGACACGTTAAAAGGGAAGTCAAAAAGTGGCTAACATGATTTTTTTTTCGTCGTTAAACTTGGATGATCAAGACCTTTGATTAAAGATAGATATTGAATTGGATCCACCCATAAGAGGTATTAATTAGCTCGTTAACCCCGTTAAGGCAGTAGAAAAAGTGTTTAATCCACTTTAATAGGTTGCTAGGGCTAACTATCGAATAGGGAGATAAATGCTTTGAATTTTGTGAGGATATTTAGGTTGTAGACGAAAGAAATTTATCGATCCATTTCGTAAGAATATTTGATGATCGATGACACAATTCATTTTCACTGCGGAGAAACTCTCAAGTCTACTATATTAGAAAAATCATAGTCATCCACGTCAACCCTCAATAACAGGAAGGAGCTAAAACCTCAAATATCAATTCGATCGAATCCAATAATTTTTGCTTAGATAATATAGTTGTGTTAAAAAATATATTATAAAATATATATATATATATATATATATATATATATATATATATATATATATATATATAGATTGATTTAAAACCTAGTTATTGTCAAACAAAAAACATATAAAATTAAAATTTTAATTTCTCCATAACTCATAATATAATCATTGTATCTTCCATTAGCTTAAACTTTGTATTACTTCTAAAGAAAATAGGGTTTATTGCATTTTACCAAACCAAGAAATTAAAGAAACATAATGAATTGTACAATTAAATGAACTATTTTGACTTTTATCCACTTGATGAAATCTTTGATTGAGTTTTTATATATTAATTTATTGTTTAATAAGAAAATGCAAAAAATTCTCAAACTTCAATATGTTATAACAATAATCTTTTGTAACCTACAAAACCAATAATAACATACATATTAGAGTTAATTACCTATACATAATTTTATCTAGTTTTCATTATGAAAAAATTTACATCAATTAATATATTTTTAAAAATAACTATTGATTTTAGCGATACTTTTAGTTTATTACTATTTATAGCAATATTGTGATAAATTTTTAATATGTATTAAAAGTGAATTATGTATTCAATATATTTGAATTATAATTGTTTTTAAAATATATTATGTTTGTTTGGTAAAAAATTGTCACGTTGTATTACAAGTGTATTAAAATGTGTGATAAATGTATTATCCATCATTAAAACTTGTATTATATTTAAATAACAAATTTATTTTTGTAATATGTATTAAACTTATATCATAAATGAATTAAAAATGATCAAGTGAAAAAAAAATGTTATTGTTATAAATGATAAATAATTTTTTATTATAGTATATTTAAGTAAGTTTTCCAATTATTTTATACTTTACTAATGTAAGATTAAGAGATTGTTTTTATATTTGAGAAAGTCAACTTCATTTAATTTGATTGAAAAGTTAGTCAATATTGTTAGATGTTCATCAAATTTGATTGAAAAGTTAGTCTATATTGTTAGTTGAGTATCGATTTAATATATTATTTTATTTAATCAAATTTATTAAAGACTATTAAAGATAGAAAATGATTTTTGAAGTTAATATGTATATTATATATATTTGTACACAATATCCTCTCATAGTTAGTATTCATGGAAAGCAATTACCAACATTTAATTACCTTAAGCAAAAGGTGAAACAATACAAATATAATTTTGATGATTTATACTTTTAATATCAAGCTAATGAATCCATGATATATATAATATATGTATATTTTTATTTCTTGATCGTAGATTAATAAATTACGTTCGTTATTTAAGTTTGTTCAATAGTCATATGCTTAATTTTTTTCTTCAAGATAAATGATAAAATGTTAGTCTCTTGGTCATTAATCTTATTTTAAGATAAAAAAGATTTAAAAAATCACAAAAAAATATTTAAGTTAAATTTTTGACCTAGTTTTATAAATTAAATAATAAAAATATGAAGTGTAATAAAAGTTTTATGCCTCAAAACACACATGTCTCCTTAGAAATGAAGCCAATTCAATTACCAGTAGCAGAATTAGAAATTTTGTTATCAGTTTAATGTATTATGAAAACTAAACACATAAAAAGTCGAGAAGGTTTTTAATATCTGATCTATAATATGTACCTAAAAAATAATTGTTATTTTAGATATACAATATAAATTTTTGTTAAAAAAATTTCAGATGAACTCGTTGCACCACGTGGGTCCGCCTCAAAAAGGCTGACTTGGCATGACAGAATTGGTCAAAATAGGGAGCATGAAAAATGATGTGTTTAAGACAGTTGGCATATACACACACACATATATATATATATATATATATATATATATATATATATATATATATATATATATTGACATGTCTGCCGGCATGCATATTACTTTTAATTAATTACTCTTATTAATTATAATATTGTTGTTATGTTATTGTCATTAATAATTATTATAATTTTTTTTTTTAAAAAAAAGGTGTGGATTAGAGAAAATAATCTCTACCAACTATATACTTTGAATATATAGAAAAAGAAGACATTAAAAAGATTGTGTTTGGAGATGGATTTTACAAATTCGAATCTAAAAGTTTCAGGTTAAGTAGGGTTGAATCAGATTTGTATTCGAAATGTAAATTTAATGACGTAATATATGAAGTTGTGGTGAAAGTGAAGATTAATGCATACGTTTCACCTACAAAAGAAGTTTAAAGTAGAATGAAAAACATGCGAGCTGGCGGATTATTATTTTATGGGCTAATTTTTTTAGGAGATGGAAAAATTGACGATGTTGTTGTATCTCCTATGAATTATTGTGTGATAAGAATGTGTGTCTCCAAAGGGTTAAAGGTAAGTCGTATAAAGTAGAGAATAGACCAACATTATTATTGTATGTGACATTACAAAAAATAGAAACAAAGTCTACATACGTTCTACTCGTAACTTTATTAATGAAGTTGCAATGATTTAATAATTTTTTTTATTTGACTTAAATTCCAAATTATTATTATTATCATTATTATTATTATTATTATTATTATTATTTGTGGTCAAAGGTAGAAGATTGTCATGGCTGACGCGTTTTAATTTGTCTGCTTGACATTATTTGATCCTTACATAAACATGAGTAGAAATATAGATGTTAATTTTATATTTTTAAAATTACATGTCATATTTTATTAAACAAAAATAAATTCATAAGCATTATGATAAATATTTTGGCATACATAGTATTTTATTAATTAATAATTCAGTAACGGTTGGTAAATTTACAAATCAATGATCAACTAGTTGAACCGAATAACTTCAGCATCGAACCGGATCGATCTTTAAATACAGAATATAAAGTCTTCGTTGTTAAAAAAACGTTTACCCCTAATGTGAAACTTTTCCACGTAAATCTCAATTCAAGAATTAGTCATACCATTCTAGATAGATCACGGACAATGATAGTAAAAAAAAAAAAAAAATTAATGACAAATCATTTTATTTATTTATATTATTAAGACCAAAAAAGAATTAGTCTTTACGGAAATTCGTTACATTTTCAATCCCAAATTTTAACATTGATCCATTTTAATCGGACCATTTTAACCTCAATAAATACCCCTAATTTTAAAAAAAAAAATTAACACAAATAAACTAAAACACTATTTCATTTATTTTATTTTTATTTTTGGAATAAAAAAAATCTCGAATTTTTCATCGATGGCAGAATCCGAAAACACAAAGAAAATGGTGACATTAAAATCAAACGATGATAAAGAATTTGAAGTTGAAGAAGCAGCAGTTATTCAATCGGAAATGATTAAAAATATGATCGAAGATGGATGTGCTACGAGTGTAATTCCATTACCAAATATCGATAGTAAAACGTTAACTAAAGTAATCGAGTATCTGAATAAGCACATTACTAAGGACGAGGACGAGGATGAGAACGAGACTGATGATAAAGGAAAGGCTGTGGAAACAGGTGAGTAATAAGAATGTGGTAAATAGGTGAGTGGGGTCATATTAGGGAAGGGCAAAATGGGTAAAGTTCATAAAATAGTTATTTTTTGATCGTATAATTGAAAAATAAATAAATCATTAACTAATAATCATGTTATATAGAAAAACTAACTATTATGTCCTTTTCTGATGAATTGTTTAGTTATACGATTATATCGACCGATGGAGTTTTAGATTCCACAAGGTGGAAAAATGATGGTTAAGTCAAGTCGCGCCACATGGCCAAATCTCTCTTGAGCTTTGGTTGGATTTTGACTTGTTGTATGATATGATGGTTAAGTCAAGTCGCGCCACATGGTCAAATCTCTCTTGAGCTTTGGTTGGATTTTGACTTGTCGTTTGATATGATGGTTAAGTCAAGTCGCGCCACATGGCCAAATCTCTCTTGAGTTTTGGTTGGATTTTGACTTGTCGTTTGATATGACGGTTAAGTCAAGTCGCGCCACATGACCAAATCTCTCTTGAGCTTTGGTTGGATTTTGACTTGTCTTTTGATATGATGGTTAAGTCAAGTCGCGCACATGGCCAAATCTCTCTTGAGCTTTGGTTGGATTTTGACTTGTCGTTTGATATGTTTTGACCTGATATTTTGATAGGTACTTTTGTTGGTACGACAGACTGAGAGTAGTATTTGAGCACTCGATAGGCTCATTAGATGCGAGATTTAACCTAAAGTAATAAGCATGAGAGATAAACGTATCGAAAGATTCACGTTTGGTTCAGGAAGGGATGATAGATCAGTGTACCTTCATTAACTAATATATCATATAAGCGAAAAATGGATGATCTTGAAACATTAAGTACTATGAACTTAACTCTCCGTTAGATCAAGTCATAACTCAACTCGACTTCCTATCGTAGGTGAGGAAGACGATCTCAAGGAGTTCGATGAGCAATTCGTGAGTGTGGATTGGGAAGAGCTCTTCGATATCATAATGGCCGCGAATTATTTGAACATTCACGAGTTGATGGAGTTGTGTTGCCAATCTGCAGCTGATAGGCTGAAGAACAAGAGTGTTAGAGCTGTTCGCGAGATGTTAAAGATCACGAATGATCTCACCGAGGAAGAAGAGCAAGAAATTATCAACGATGCTCCGTGGGCATTTGAAGGTCCTGAGATTGATGATACCGTTAACTAGGTTATAGTAATCGTATCGTTTATTAATAAGTTAGATAGTCGAGGTGTGTCCAAGCTGATCCTGATACTATAGTTATCGTAGAAATATTAATAAGTAGTGGCTAAAGGGTCTATGAAAGTTTTAGATATAATGTTAGTTCTTTTACTTTACTTGTTATTCATGGTGTTTTAGTGTATTTTGCACTTTTGAATAATTGAGTTATTTATTTTTATGATGCAATTTTAGCCTATGACATTGAGGATTATATTGTATATATCGTCTGACTATAACAGAATTATGATTTTCATTAAAAAGATTCATAATATAAAAGAGTAACACATATGAAGAAGCTAAAGAAATTTAACATCAACTAGACTTATAGTTGATAATAAAAGTTCAGTATTACGTACACAAAATAAACATAAATCACGATTTACAAAATCCGAAACCAGACAACAACTATAACATATCCCATGTAATGATTCGGGGAAAATCAAGCAACAAAAGTAAAAATAAAACAAAGAAGCAAGTGAATCTCAAGAATGGAAATACTAGATGTTATAGCTTCATTCTTCTATCTTCAATTCTTCTCCGAGCTCTTACTACTCCCCGTTACATCCTCAGCTCTACGTTTACTCGTAATTACATCTCTAACTTCTACATCACGTTTCGTACCACGTTTAGTTGCAACAACTTGTTTAACTGCTTTTGCCAAAAAACAGAGGAATTTCCTTGACTCTGCCTCTGATCTCTCCAGATATTCCTTTAAAGACGCGATTCCCTTAATCATATCATCTTGTCTCTCTTTCAACTTCTCGAGTTCTGACTTCAACGTAATGTTGAGATCTCTCTGGCTTCTCATCTCTTCCCCTACTCCGTAAAAGTAATTTTCTTGATTAAAATCTCTACGAGCATTTAGATTTTTTGTTCGTCTTTTTATGTTAGATATCAAGTGTTTTTTCCCTGCTTGAAACCAATAATGTCCATACTCCCATTTCTGGAGTCCAATCTTCTTGAATCCCTATCATCGAATACGTATTAATAAGAGGGAAAAAAATGCACATGATGATATCAAGAAAGTATAAACGCGATAACTTACATAGTTATTGAGTTGATAGACGAAGCTTGACATGTTAGTATGTTTGAAATATTTTGGTAGAAGTTCGAAACTAAATCTGTTATGATCAGAAATAACGAAACTAGAACCAGATGAACTCCAACAGATTACAGAGTTTGTATTCGGATCCTCTACCATATCATATGTTTTTGTTACGAAAGGGGCAATGCCTGGTTCGCGTTTTGCACCATCACCAACGCCATGTTCAATTTCTCCCGAAGAAAATCGATTCATATTGTTCATTGCCATGTTTGTTTGATTTTGTTTTTATGAAAACTTTGGTAATGTGTTATGTTTGTTCTTTGTACAAAGTTATAAGCAGAAAAAAAAGTTGTAGCTAAACTTTTTTGTTGTTGTTGTTGTAGTACATTGCCACAATATTAAATTTGGACCTTTGATGAATTGACTTGTCCTTAGTAACATGCAAATTGAAACGATTCCTTCTTGTACTAGTGGTACTTGTTTAATTTTATTTATTTTCGGATTTCATTCGATGTTCGATACTCTTATTGGGGTTCAATTAATTTGAATCTCGCCATAGAAGGACTATTAAAGAGGAAGCACTCTTTATCAACATTTTTTTTCTTCAATATTTAGGTATGAACAGTGACGGAGCCAAAAAATTTTGCTTAGAGTGTCCAAGATTTGATTAAGTACATTTTTTTTTGGACAATTGAGTGTACTTAAAACATGACCAAAAAAAAAAACGAAGCCAGAAGTTTTACAAATGAGTGTATCTCTATTCGAAAAGTAAAAAAAAAGAGTTATTATTAGTAAGATTTGCTTACGTGAACACTTAAAAGTTTGCGTATGTCGATTCTTTCAAGATGTCTTCGATTATCAGTTCACTTGCATATACGTTATGATTTTCCGATAAAGAGTGTTTAAAACTCTGCCTTTGATATGAATTTGAAATTTTTAATTAATGATGAAAGAATCGATCATATCCATCTCGTCACGAGTCCACGACCCTTGGTGGTAAGTACAATTTTGTTTTAGTGAGAAGGAAAAGAACAAAGAAAAGGCAACTAGGACTGGAATTTAGTTTTATTTCTTAATATTAACGTGGAATTAATGGTCCTTTTCAACAAAAATGAATAAGTTAAATTCTACTTCTTTCAATTTTTGTGCTAAATACAATTGTATATTCTAATTAGATATTTGTGTGTTGCTAAAAAACTGATTACGTTATGATCGAAGGTTATCCTAAATTAATTAATATTTTACTAACATTACACGTATATTTTGGTACATTCGAAAGACAAAAAAGCATTATAGTCTCGCAAAAGCAACATGTTTACTTAAAAAAAAAACTCACTCTAAAAAGGCGTAAACGCTTCACTCGTTAGGATTGTACATTCATTAAACACTAAGCCCACAAACACTTCACTCGCTAGGGTTGTACATTCATTAACCACTAAAGTCACCGTCTAAAGAGGAGTGACCTCTTCACTCACTAGGATTGCACATTCATTAACTACTATTCTATTAAACCCACATTCTAATGAGGCGTAATCACTTTACTAGCTAGGATTACACGTTTTCATTGACCACTAACCTACAATCTAAAAAGGTGAAAAAACTTCACTCACTAGGATCGCACATTTATTAACCCCTAAACCCACGGTCTAAAAAGGCGTAAAACACTTCATTCGCTAGGAATGTACATTCATTAACCACTAAATTCACCGTCTAAATAGGTGTGACCTCTCTACTCGCTAGGATTTTACATTCATCAACTACTAAACCCACACTCTAATGAGGCATAAACACTTTACAAGCTAGGATTACACATTTTCGTAAACCACTAACCCACACTCTAACGTAAAAAAACCTCACTCGCTAGGATTGCACATTCATTAACCACTAACTCAATAGTCTAAAGTGGTGTAAACACTTCACTCGCTAGGATTGCACATTCATTAACCACTAACTCAATAGTCTAAAGTGGTGTACACACTTCACTCGCTAAGATTGCACATTCATTAATCACTAACCCCACACTCTTAAAAAAGCGTTAACACTTCACTCGCTAAGATTGCACATTCATTAACTACTAAAACCCACACTTTATGAAGGCGTAAACACTTCACTCGAACACAACACATTCTCATTAACCACTAACCCCCACACTTCAAAAAGGCATAAAAACTTCACTCTCTAGGATTAAGCATTTTCATTAACCACTAACCCCACACTCTCAAAAGAGGCGTAAATTCTTCTTCATTCACTAAGATTGCACATTCATTAACAACTAAACCCCATACTTTAAAGGCATAAACACTTCACTCGGACACAACACATTCTCATTAACCACTAACCCCTACACTTCAAAAGGGCATAAAAACTTCACTCGCTAGGATTACACATTTTCATTAACCACTAACCCCACGCTCTTAAAAGAGGCGTAAAATCCTTCTTCACTCACTAAGATTGCACATTCATTAACAACTAAACCCCATACTTTAAAGGCATAAACACTTCACTCGGACACAACATATTCTCATTAACCACTAACCCCTACACTTCAAAAGGGCATAAAAACTTCACTAGCTAGGATTACACATTTTCATTAACCA